ACAAAATAAATTAAAATTAGTAAAAACTTTAAATATATATAAAAAAGAGAATATGTTTAGCAAATCTTTAATATATCAGAATTATGGAGAAATATATGTTTTTTGTACACATGAAGATCAATTTGTATCCTTACATTTAATAAAAAAAGTATCCTATAAAGAAATTGTTAATAAAAATCTTCAACTGACTCACCTAAGATTAATAATAATAGGAGTAAAAGGACTTCAAAAAGAAAATTTAAGAGCTAAAGTACTTGTTGATCTCAGAAAACGAACTCAACAGATGTCGGGTCCACTCGTGTATGCATAAGCCATATCCAACACGTTAAGGCAGATCTATGGTCGAGATCGCTCCAAAGATTGGACGTGGGAGAAGTTCAACGACACGAGACGTTTCCATTCGGACTCCGGCAGGGTTTACGGGATACAAGATTGTATAATGATCAATCGATGAAAGCAAGATTTGTAGCTGTAATAAACTGATAAGAGAATAAGAAATGCTGCTTTGAGTATTTAGAATCTCATTAGTCTTCAAATGTTACATGGTGGGTGTATTTATAGTATTACAAAAGGAATGGTGACTCTTGGATCAATTTACACGTGGCCTCATCTCCTCAGTCAAAGCATCAAGTCCTAACCATCAAGTTGACCTTCCTAGCTTTTCAAAGCATTTAATATTCTCACATTGACAAGACGAGACACAAATACACTTTTTACAAATGTCACATTAGTAATTCAAATAAAGATCTTCATCATGAACAAATCTTTGCACGTAGACCGTCACTAGCAGGGGTGGAGACTCGGATCTGCTGGGCCTCAAAGGCATGCCACCTCGAATTGGCAGTGGGCCTCGAAAATTATCTAGGGCCTCGGAGTGTCCACCCCGGATTGAGTAACAGGCCTCGAATTTTTACCCTAGGGCCTCGGAATTTACCCAGGGCCTATTATTCAAAGATGATGATTCGGCAGGAGTGGGTCGGCTAGACTACGTGAGAACCTAAGTGATGAAACATAAAAATACTAATATGTTTATATGATAATAGATTTACAGATATAGAACAAGGATTATTAGGAAGTATTGAATTAGACATGAATAATAAAGGTGGAATAGTATATTTTACTCCTAATTATTTAGTCAGAACAATTTTTTTTAACAAAAATATTAAAATAGGAATAAAAACTAAAGGATATCAAATGAAAAGAAATGAAGATAATTTATTAATTTGCACATGATTTATAGGGTGACTTAATACACACACACACACACACACACATGTACGTTGCGGTAGACCCTTTTGTAGCATTTTTTTAACGTTGCGATAGACTATTTTGCAGCGTT